GAATAACTCCAGAACCAGGGAAGCTGGGAGGCTGAAATTTTCAGGAAATGTTCTCAACTCATCTACGACTTGAATTTATCAAATTCAGCCTCCGTTGTGCGTGGTGGCTACGCACAGCCCGTGAAATTTTTTAGCTGCAGTTTTGGTAACGCGGGAACTGACAAAGCTGGGAACATGGGATTTCAAGGAAATGTTCCCTGTCCTACTATAGCTCTTGGATAATTAAGTTCCCGAAATTCGAGGACCGATGTGTACAAGAGATTTCTAGCTAGTGGAATTTCGAGTGATCTTATTAAAGTACGAAACACTGCAAAAACGTATGATCGCACGGGGCCCCCCGTGCGCGTCGCCAATGATTAATAGATTCTTCCATTCTACAGTAATTTAGTCACGAATGGGGAGAAACTGCAGTAAAAAAAAAGCGCATTGGAGGATCTAGAGAAGCCTGCCAGCACCATGACCAGTGTGCCTTGTATTATTACTGCTTATTGCTATACTTTGATTAGCTACTGCTCATCGTCACGTTTCTTCTCACTGCTGATGCAATTAGCAACTTCGAATACAGGCAATTAGCTGCGAACAAACATGTGGAATACCTAGCTAAGTTTCCGTTAATAGTAGGAAAGTGATTTCAGTTCAGTTATTTTCCCGTCGCCTCTCGGCCAATTTCTCACAGACTCTCGTTTTTTCACTTCCTCGGTTGAGAAAGACAAAGAAACTGGAAACTTGTCAGCACGGTTTTTTACGCCACGAGGTTAAAATCATCCTTCTAGTGCCGGTTTTAACTTGTGATATTTTCAGCATGCAAATTAAAACAGCTGCTTCATTCAAACAGTCAAATCTATTAACACAAATAAAGTAACATAAATTATGCTAATTTGGAACATATATTGGCTCCCACTTACCTGAGTTCATGACTCGAAATTCATTAAAACCGAAATGCTAATGTGAAGTTCTGAGTTGTTAGCCTGTCTGGCTGCAGAGCTGAAAATGCGCGACAGATAATCAAGGAGTCCGTTTCTGCCCAATTCCATATTTGTGAAAGTGCAAAAAATGCATAACATAAAGCAGTTTTCAATGTACTCTTACACCTGAAAAGGAAATACTTCACCGAACTGCTCTTGCGAGCAAGAGACTTTAGTTTCGGTGAAAACGCTTTCCGTCTAGAACTAATCTGCCTCCCGTTTCCGCCAGAATTTACTGTGCATGCGTCCTCCGTGAGAGACGGTTGCACTTGGGAAGTAGCTTGTGCGGGTGGCAAGTACATCGTCTTATAGGCTAAATTAACTATCACCAAATTAAACCAACAGATCGTTTTAGTGTCCACTGTTCATCGCCTGTCTCCAACTGCGCTTTTTAAGTGTTTGCACCGCACTACTTAGGCTGATGAAATCGGGCTGAAGAGCGCATGCCGTCCAACTTAAGTTTTCTTGTGTCGCTGTGCAAGTCGTATTTGATTTGGAAATCATCGAAAAATTTTTTCCGATGATTCCCAAATCGAATATGTGTAAAAAAAAAGATCGGATTGAGCCAAGTGGTGTATTAGCTGCGCCATTTCGATGGTCAGTCATTTTGAAGGTTTTACAGCCAATTCACGACTTGTATTGTATTGGAACGCTGAATGAATATCGCTTGGAACTAACTGCACTGGTCATACACAATAAGCACTATAAATTGTTTCGTTTCTGGTTCCGCAATATTGTCACCATCCTGTTCCCATTTTTCACCCTTATGTTCCTCAACGCTCGGATTGTGAATGAGCTCAGGAAAGGTGTTGCCAGCGAAGAGCGCAATTTGGCTCCATCGAGCAGTGCTAAGGAAAGAAAGGTGAGCCAGTGTGTATTTTCCACTATAGATGAATGTTGAAACATGATGATTGGCAAATTCAGCGCTTTGAGATAAACGACTGAAAATCAACTTTCAAACTTCAGTCTCCCGGTCTTCACAGCGGTACACAAATTTATATAATTCCAGAACGGAGTAAGCCGTGAGCGCTACGTTTCAGATTTTTAAAACAATGGGCGAGTCGGAAAATCACCCCATTAAGAACTTTAGCAAGTCCTTGCACGTTTTGACTCATCATGCGGTAGGCGCTTGCTGCATCTTCTTGCGAAAATGCAGAACTGCATCAGTTAGTATGTGCATGTTGCTACCAATTTAACAACTCCTAAATTAGCTCCATGGCTGTTTTTTGTGATATAAAAAAGGACTTGTTTTTCCTGGTTTATATTTCCTTACTCTGGTTCGTCAAAATTCCAGGCTCGAATTCGGGCGGCAACGCGGACACTGGTGCTAGTTGTTTGCACTTACCTTCTGGCAAATATGCTCAATGTTATCATAACTATATGGGAGCACAGCGATGCTACGTCACTTTTCACCGGGTTATTTTATTCCTCACATTCCAGCACAATACTACTAGTTGGAACTTAGACGAATCCCTCTGTCTGATTACAATTACTACACATCAATAATCTCCATTTTAAAAATCAGAATTTTGTTTCCATTTTTTATGCGTTTTTGAACGCTACAGCCAGCAAAAACACATATTGTCAAGAGGTTGTCTGTGTGTATGTAGGTGTGTGTGTTTTCGGAAGCAAGTGAACTTTGTCATCCACCTTCATCTCAGCAACCAGGAAAGTTTGGAAGCTGAAATTTTGGGTATATGTTCCTACCCCGTGTGTCATTCTTCTGTTCTAAACTTTTCGTTCATACGCGCCTAGGCCCCACGCATGGACCTCCGAAAAAATATGCAAATTTTTTTTATCGGGGAACGATTTCGTGAACCAAGCAAAGTACAAAGCTAAAACTTCGCAGGGATATTCTCTGCGCATGTTTAAGCTAAAGATTTCAAATTCAGCTGTTGCGCACTCTTGCACGGCGCGCACGATCATGTCAAAGTTTGCAACTTGGTACTGTGCTAACTTGAAAACTAGCCAGAAAACAATGGCTGAAATTTGCCAAAATATTTAACGTCCATATGCGAAACCATGTACCTAAAGTGAGTTCTGATTTATACTTGGGCCATGAATTAGGGCACGTCAAAGATATTTGCAGCGAAGTGATTATTTTGTTTCGAGGTTGAAACTTCGCTGTGATATTCTACTTTCAAATGCGGTCTTTAATCTGCTTGGAAGTAAAATCCCCGTCAGGTGATTACGAGGAATATTCAACTTTACTGAAAAATCAGAAAAGAGTGCGTTTTGCAGCGAACGACCGTCCTCATCCAAATATGTAAATGAACATTCATTTCATTTGCACACTTACGCTTTTTTGACGAGCGACCGATCCAGCAATATCTCCACTTTTTAGTGAACTGGAAATTTGCTTTTTTTCCAAAAAACGAGCCTTAATGAAACCCAGGCTGGAAAGCACCAAGTGAGCCAGCGTCAACCATGCGTTTTTGCACCAAATATGAACAAATATGAACTAATTAGGTTAACTGTATGAATGATTGTTTCATACATCTACCTTATGCGCTCAGTACCGTAAATCATCGTCAATTTTGCACAAACGAAAATAAACAATTTCCGTTTAGCGGTCGGTTTTTGAAAGACCCAGCCGTTCAAAGAGAAATTTCCGGCCAAAAATTTAAGTGCATGTACACGAGAACCATGCTTACCTGGAGACTGAATTTGAAACCTTTAAGTTGTATTTAGGCGAAGAATATTCTCCTAAAATCTCAGCCTTACAGCTCTTCTGCTTCCCGAGTTCTGCATGGGCGTTCATGGTTCCTAAGTTAGCGATTTTCGCACCAGGAGCCCTCACGGGGCCGTACGCGGAAACCACGCGAACCTGGGGGCTGAATTTAAAATCTATGAGTTATATGTGGACGGGGAACATTAATTCAAAATTTCAGCTTTCTACCTTTTCTCGTTGCTGAGCTAACAATTTTCCCGCCAAAAATTTGAAATCTTTTGGAAATACTTGAGTAGGAAACATTCCTCGAAAATTTCAGCTTCCTAGCTTTTCCTGTTTCCGAGTTAGTAATTTTCGAGCTAAAATTTCCGCGTGCCCGTGCGTGGGCCCCAGGCGCTTCCAAACACCTGATTTTGCTCGTGCATGAGTAGAGGACATTCCCCTAAAGTTTCAGCTTTCTAGCTTTTTTCGTTCCCGCGTTAGTGATTTTCGTGTCAAAATTTTCTCGTGCCTATACTTGAGCCCCAGACGGCCCTATGGAGCTGAGTCTGAAAACTTTTGGTCGTGCACAAGTAAGAAACATTCCCTCAAAGTTTCAATTTTCTAGCTTTTCTCGCTCCCGACTTACGAATTTTTCCGCCATAATTTTCACGTGCCCGTACTTAAGTCCCGGGCAGTTTTGGGCAGCTGAATTTGAAATCTTTTTGTCGTACACGGTTAGGGAGCATTGTCCTAAAGTTTCAGCTTTCTAGCTTTTCTCATTCCCGAGTTAGCAGTTTTCCCACCAAAACTTTCACGCGCTCGTACGCGGGGCTCCGACGTGCTTGAGAGTTGGTACCGCTGTCCTAGTGTGGTACTTGGCTGGGGAATATGCTGGCAAGATTTCAGCTTCAAAGCTCGTGTGGTTAGCGAGTTGAAATACCCGGACAGACGAACACACACACACACACATATACATACAAACACATACACTGACAGGGTCGTTGTAATATGCGTTTTTGCTGCCTGTTGCAAAAACGCATAAAAAGCTGGTAATCATGTACCTGGAGGTCCACACAGCCCTATAGTGCTACACCTTACGCCTTCGTCCCAACCGACGCTCTTTCTCCTGCATGCCGTAAGAGGCCAGAACACGGCCAATATGAGCCCAAGTGTTAGGCCACAGCGCAGAAATCATTTCTGATATTAGCGATCTGCGAGTTTAGTGCAAAAACACATGATCGCACCGGCAAGTCTGGTGCGTTCCAGCCTGGGTTTTTTGTTGTGACAGCTTATGATAAACAAACAGTCAATACATATATTTGTTTATAATGAGCTGTCACAACAAGATATATATATGTATATTATAAATACAGCAAGAAAGCTCGTGCATCAGTATGGTTATTTCAAGCCAGTGGTATTATTAAGACGTTCCTAGAGGCCGTGTGCAACTATAACAGTTCCTTCGATTCTGGGCCGCATAACTCCAGTTATTACCCTCAGCCTTTAGATTTATGCACATATCGCTTCTTGAACCGCAGAAGTAATCTTATTTTTTGCGAGTACCACTCACTAGCACGTAACGTCCACTAATTGTCAACAGGGCGAACAACATGTCTTGTCCCTTGAATTTTACTTTTTAGCGTGGTTACAATAATATCCTACACGCTGTTCATCTGATTTTTTGTGTGGTTATATATTTGTAAAATTAGACGAAATAATTTTTTTGTTAAATGCAATCGTTCGCGGAGTAATTTTCCCCTTTTCCGTCAGTTATTGTCTCTGGAAAGAAAGTCAAATTGTTTGAAACGAAAATCAAGCCAAATTGCAAAACCTGTATTAAAATTTTCGAAACGGTTTTTTTCAGTTTTTTGGATTTCTATATATTCAGCGTTGATGCGGTATCGCTGCTAACCATTGTGGCGTGTGCTTTGCGACTGCCCATTTATGCAAGCTGTCAGCCGGCACTTCGAACCGAAATGATCCACTTTGCGAGTGTTTTCTGCAGGCCAGCTGACAGCGCGCCGCCACTGCTCGATCGCAACGGCAACACCAGTGAAACAGTCTTTTCTAAATGAAATGTTGTACCACGTTGGAAGAAAATGCTCATCTATTTCTGAAATGCGAGAACTGATAGACATCATTGCTCGGATTACTAAGAGTCGATCTTTGTTTTGATTATGACGTTTTTGCCGTGCAGCGCTAGAGCGCTGTAACAGGCAGCAAAAACGCATATTGGAACGACCCTGT